GGGGGGGGGGGAGGGCAGGTAAAAGAATCAACCATGATCTTAAATCAAAATCAAATTAATACTTTATGCGCCAGTTAACACACTTTTAAAACTACCATGTCGTTTGAATTTTTGTAGTACCATTCTCCAGATACAACTAATAATGTGTTAAGTGTAATAATAATATTTCAATTTTGAAAAACAACTTTTCTGACTTTTTTACTTCCTTAAGTCTACTGTTCCTCTTTGTTAGAATATTCATATTTCTGTATTAGAGAAAGTAGTGAAGCGTAAATGACTGAAGAAATCAAAGCGCTTTGAAACGTTTAACACATTTAATTATGTTCACAAGTGTATTTCCTCTCACGAAAGAAAACATAGTATGAAAAAAGTCTTAGGCCTGTTCCCGAGGAAACTTTAGATTACATATGCTTTTGCATTGACTTTTATCTAAAATCTCACACATTCATGTTATCATAATACATCTTTTTTATATATTCAAATATAAGTAATGTCTGTCACACATGCTAAAACACTTTTTCTGAAATAAAAAAAAATGTTTCCCTCACCGAAGCAAGGTAACCTGTAGCAGGTTCTGAAGGACTCCTCCACTAGATCTTCTTCGTTACATTCTCTCCCTCCACAAGAAGGGGTGGTGTTGGCACATTTGCGCTTCCGGGTTCGCTTCCTCAAACCACGCCCACAAAAAGTAGGGCAGCGAGTCTGTGTTGACCATCTTCCCCACTGGCCAAATCCTCCATGAACTGAAATTCCAGAAAGAAAAATTGTTGTTGTCGATTTTATTCATTTGTTGTTGCAAATGTTGTTATTGCAGATGCTATTGCTTTTTGTTTCATAAACGTGTTTGTGTCCACTTACACTGAATTTATTGCAATGTATTTATTCGGAGATCTTGACTGTCGGAAAATATACATTGATGAAAAAGCCTTTGAATCAATCAGAATGCCATTAATCATCATTTCTCTCTAGCTGTACATCTATTTTACGACATTAATTAAGTAAAGTTAAGAACGAACAAAAACTTAAGGAAAAGATATGGTGCTATCTTTTGCAGGACAGAAAAAGCAGAAGAACAGAAATGTAAACATAAGCAGACAGGCACATACACATCAAGCCGAGAATTTAAAAAATGATTGCAGTTGACACGCGAGTAAATTACGCAAACTCAAAAGGCGAAAAAAACAAACAACTACGCCACATCGTTAAAAAATCAGTTCACCTGAGCCGACGTTACACTCAAACGTCTGCCTATCCACCTGTCTGACGTCACGAGCCAGGCACGCCCTCTGCCTCTGTCTGGTTTGTGTGCCCGTACCACAAGGGACTGTACAGAGGCTCACTTGGGACCACGAGGCCCAGAACGCCCACTGAGCTGAAGGAGAAACGGATGAGGTTATGTCCAGATTTCCAAAGGGATAATATCCAAGTAACACTCTAATGGGTGAGGTAATATGTCAAGCGGGGTAATATTCAAGTTTATATCCACACTGGTAACGTAATAATCCAAACATCCAAAGGGTATATTATCAAAGTATTATTCTAATGGTTAAGGTATCCAGAAATCCAAAAGGGTATAACCAAGTATTATTCTTATGGGTAAGGTAATATTCAGATATCCAAAGGGGTAACAACAAAGCATATATCCGAAAAGATAAGATAATATCCATACATCCATAGGGATAATATCCAAGTATCATTCTAATAGGTAAGATATTGTCCAGATATACAAACGGGTAAAATCCATGTGTCATATTATTTGAATGGGTACGATAATGCCCAGGTATCCCAATGGACTATATCCAAATGCCATATTAAAATGAGTCGGGAACTTCCAGATATCAAAATGGATAACGACCATTAATGTTATAGTCAAGCTTTTATTAGAAAGTCCCCTCTTGGCACAACATTCAGAGATAATACGATGTCACACCCCAAAAATGTGACTTCTTTTTATAGAAAGGAGACGGAGCATAGTATTGTTGCGACGTCCAATGAGACTTAATGTACCCCCTCCTCCCCCTCCTCCTAATTATATTGTATCTTTTTAATGTGGTATTCTTAATGAAGTGTCGTCACGTTCACTGAATGACCACAAACAAATTATTGTTAAATCATCAACAGGTATACTCTTCTGGTGCTGGTGACAGTAGGATTATTGTAGAAGCATGCACGCCTAGTAAACCGTTTGTCAAGAATAATTCCTGTAACGAAAGTGAACTTTCTTTCTTACTTAAAATTCTAAACTGTACTAAAGTGCTGCAAAAAGCTGATGTTTCCAGATTCTCTTACTTTAAACATAACTCAAACAGGGGTGTTCCTACAATTAATATACCTTTAATAATCTACTGTTTCGAAAAGTGGAGCGTTTTTAAAACAGAAAAACACAAATGGGTAATACTCACAACAGTCTGTCCTGTTGATTCTGATGGGCATTGGGTCGTTGTGGGAAGGTAGGAAAGGAAAAATGGACTTGAACGAATATAAAGTAAACAAGAAAAAGCAACAACCTATCACTAGCCTACACCCCTGGCCCTCACTAGTTCAAAGATCACACTCAATATGGTGGATTATGTGGCAATTATCTCTTAATACGAAACTTTACATGGCCTGCCAGTGTTTCTTTTAAAAAAATTGCAATTAAAGTAACCATTTACTTTCCGCTGCTTATCACAAGCTAAGAGTATCCAAAATATATTGTTTTGTACGTGTAAGTTTGAGATTCAACTGACATTCAGTGCCTGGGTGAAAGCAAGACTGGCGGGCATACAGAAAGAAGACAAACTTTATTTACTGTGAAACGTAACGTTACATCTATTTTTTCGGTTACTAGAACTCTAAAATCTAGACAAAAATTAAGAAAACACTAAAAATATTGTTTTCCAGTCCAAATTCATGCATGTCTCAAACAACGTCTTTTTTTTTTAAAGATAGAGGTGAAAAGAAGAACAATCTATAAACAACAAAAACAAATAAATTAATCGTACTCACTCAATTACCTGGGAGCTCGTGAGATCAAAGCTGACAACAGCTAAGAGAAGGGCAGCTGTCGCTAAAGCCATTTGGCACCGATTAATCATCATGAAGAGTACATTGAGAACCGGATGGCCACTTCGGTCTTATTTGGCCCGACTTCTGAAACCGGAACAGCAAGCATTGTAGTCATAAACCTATATCGATAAAAAGAAGAAAGGAATATTGTTCGAATTTGCATCGTTGGCTCCTGAGAAATTGTATCTAAGTTATCAGTTTACTTCTTTTTTTGTTGCTTGTTTTGTTTTGCTTGATCTATTTTAGCATTGCTAAAAAGAAATAGTATTCATTCGTTCTTCTAAGACCATAATATTATCTTTAAAAAAAGAAAGAATAACAAACATATGCACCAATGGAAACAAGGGATACCTTGAAGTCGATAATAATCCAACATTCAAAGTGGAAAAAACCACACGCACATACACATACATCAGCTGTCACCAACACCTATACTGCACCTGGCTCGGTGAATGACAACTCTACGATGAGACAAGAAAAACAAAAGATAAAAACTTCTAAAGATTTAGAATGGTGCTATCTGTTATTATTCATGACTCCTTCGATAGGTGCAATTTAGGCGAACTGATGAACCTGCAATGTATAAAAACAATCTTCGACGTCTGATTCGTTAATATAGATCTAGTATAAATATAAGACAAACTAAAAAAACAGACGTTAAAAACGAAGATAGAGTAGCTTTATGCACTTGGAATTTCAAAGAAACTACCATTTTCAAACTTTTAAAGTTTGATAGGCAGTCCAATATGGTTCATTTAACCTACACCTAGTCAGCACTATCATGATTATCTCTATCTTTTTTTGTTTTGTTGGTAAAACGACAACGTTGCCATTCTGATATTTTGTAAACAATAACAACAAAAGGAACAGCAACAACAAGAAAACATAAAAAATAGCAACACGACACCAAAAACTGAGACCACGAAAACAAGAATTTAAGCTCATTCAGTTGACATTATTTATGCTGGGAATACACATTTTTGAGCATTCGCCACTTTGTGAGAAAGCTCGTCCATAAATAGTTTGACGTCAAGGAAGACATTGCTGCAAATTGCCTGTCCTGTGTAGAAACACCCCTTGTGCTAATTTTGTTAAATATTTTTTCGTATATTTAAGCACCCGTATTGATCATGTCCATTTGATTTCATATAAATGTTATTTTATACTTGTGTTATCATTAGTACATCATAATTATAGTAAAAGCCCATTTGTTTTTCCTTTTTAGTGTAGCTTTACGTTTGATGAGAAATATAAATTGATATGAGTCTAGTGTGTTACACGATATAAATAGATTATATTTCTCTATCTCTTTCTCAATTTCACAAACACATACACACAAGCACACGCACACATGCACACACACACACACACACACACACACACACACACACACAAATACACACACACACACACGCGCGCGCGCGCGCGAGCAACCACAAATGCACACACATCTACACTCACACATACACACACAAACACACGCACACACTTAAACCATTTACACACATGTACCCAAGCACACATTATTCCACACATTTGAACACTTAAACACACGTTCAGACTCATAATTATTAAACTGATAAATAAAAAATTCGCGACAAACATTACTTAATAAAACTCTCAAATATCATATCTCCCAACACACACACACACACACACACACACACACACACACACACACACACACACACACACACACACACACACACACACACACCCTAATAATAATAATAATGCATACATACCTACCTACATACATACATACATACATACATACATACATACATACGTACATACATACATACATACATACATACATACATACATACATACATACATACATACATACATACATACATACATACATACATACATACATACATACATACATACATACATACATACATACATACATACATACATACATACACACATACATACATACATACATACACACACATACATACATACATACATACAGACATACATACATACATACATACATACATACATACATACATACATACATACATACATGCATACATACATACATGCATACATACATACTATACATACATACATACACATCAGTTTGGGAATAAGAGGGCAATAAATAAGTTAAAGATCTACCACGCTACAATATGTGACGCGACGAGGGGGAATAAGGCTCCCGTCAATTTTTGGACATGTAGAGTTATTGGGTTATTGGTATCATCTTAATAAAGCTTCTTCACCTGTCTTTATTTGTATGAAAAAAAATATCCCTTTTATCTTGAATGTACGTCAAGATATTTGCGAATGAAGGAGGTGGGGGTCACCTGGTTTCAGAGGTAAAATTTCTGAGAAAATGGCGGCTGAAGATTAGTCATTTCCTCAGCTTAAGAATCCGAGAAAACTTAAAATTTACATTTTTTGCCTTTAATCAACGTTTTTCAGTAAACTCTACACAGAAATGTGTTCTTTAATGGGCATGAAAGGTATTTCGCCAAAAAACAACAACAACAACAACAAAAGATAAAAATGCCCAAACCTGCTGAAAAATGCCAGTTTCTTTACTTTGATTATTATGACGAGAGCCTGATTCCACCACGCTGCCTCACATGGCCATGGTATCTACAGCGGTAAAGGTATTTAGACCAAAGGTGGTGGCGTTACACCGTTACACAATCCAGTGTTTTGGTTGACGGATTGCCTCAGTTTAAGATTTCGTTTGGATCAAAAACGTTTTCGGTGGTAAAGATCTTGCTTAACGAGCAGTTTGTGTCATTAATTGACTAACACCGCCCCTCCCCCCCTCCCCAGGCAACCACAAAACATTAATTTGTAAAATGGCAAATAAGAGTTAAAATACTGGTAGACCTTTAAAAAACCCACTTAAAAACAACAAAACAAGCAAAATAGGTGCACATCTGTCAAGCGGTATTCCCGCAACTAAACAGATTCAAAAAGTAACAAATCGGATTTAATATAGGCACTAGAATAACAACGTGTAGTCCCAAACCTCTACATAAATAACAAAGAAGAATAACCGGTGTTTCGTCAAAGCTCGACAACAAAGTTATAAAATCCCCGAAGAATGAGAAGGTCCTGGGATCTTTCAGTCATCCATGAGATGTCCAGATCTTATCAAACAACGCCCGCCACAGCAATCAACATATCAATGAGTTCATTTGCATAAACATGTATGTTGAACAGCTAGCGAGCAGTCAATACATGTCCATGAATCTGACAATTATTCTTTCTGTGCTTTGCTATGGTTTATGAAGGAAACAGCTTATTTCATTGAGACGAACAGATAGTTTGGTTTGCATCGTGATGGCCGGGGTGGGAATGACCTGAGATCCATTTCTCCACATGGTCTTTTCTTTTTGGGGATACCCCAAAACTCCTCCGGGGTATGCTGATAGCTCAGTCGGCTTAGATGAAGAAACTCTGGTGTCTGTTTCGCTGTAGTGGTTATTAAGCTGTTTGCCCTATGACGCAGAAGACGTGACTTCGCTGCCGGGATGGGAGGGTGAGAAAACGATCTTATCTATTGTATCTCCGTATTTTTGACGAGAAGCTGCATCACCCTGTGCTTCTCGCCGGTTGGCCTCCAAAGCTAGGATCAATGCAGACTGTCTCATAAAATATTTCATTTTTGTTGATGTTTGTATTGGTTTGGGGATGGGGGTTGGGAGGCGAGGGTAAACATATTTATTAGTGCAGTTGGCCGTTGTAGGAATCGAAAATGAGGCCCCCCAACTTGTGTTTTATTTTTGGCCTTATATTTATTTGCTTATGCTCTTTCTTTTTCAGTTATTCTGGCTACTCTGATAATGGGTTTTACACAAACAAATGTGAGTGTGTTTATATTGTATGTGTTGATGTTATTGTTCACCGGCACTGGTTTGGCGTTTCCGTCGTGGCGCGAAGGAGATCCTAGTTCTATAATCACCATCATCATAATCATAATCATAATAATAATCATAATAATAATGTATTTATAACGCTTCTGAATCCACAAAAAGTGATCGGTGGCTCTAACAACACACACACACACACACACACACACACACACACACACACACACACACACACACACACACACACACACACACACAGATACACACACACACATTGACAAAAACTCGAAAGCTCAGTGCCTCTACGACATGCATGAATTTAAAAAAAAAACCCACCCACAATGACTGATATTTCAGATACAGAGTTCCATCATTTTAACTATTTTCCTGAAATACATTGTTTTTTAAATTTAAACTGATCAATTGAAAGAGACATTTTAACACCTAAATCCAAATTGTTCCAAAGTTTTGGGGCACAGACGGAAAAGACTTTCTCACCCAATATTATTCTGGACCTAGGCAAGCAGAGCTGTTGGTCATTTGAAGATCTTAAATTACGAGATGGTGAGTACATTTCCATAAGTTCTGAAAAGTAATTTGACGAGCACTGATGTAGAGAGCTATAAACCATGCACAACATTTTTAATTCAACGCGCTCTCTCACTGGCAACCCATGGAGGGTTTTCAAAATATCATGAACAAGGTCTGAAAGTCTTGTTGCCCTGTTTTGAGTATATTAAGTATTTGAGTATTATCTGTCAAAATGAAATCCAAGATTTCGTATGACCCTTGATTTCTCCACCTTAGCAGTTTCATTGCCTAGATCCACACTCTCAAATTGTACATTTGCTCTTAAGTGATTGGTTCCCATTAAGATTATTTCTGTTTTGTTTTTGTTATGTTTAAGTTTATTGTTAAACATCCAGTCCTTGACTTCTTGAAGACAGTTTTAAAGGATTTAAGTCTGTTGATCTTCTTCTCCCCAGTTGATTTGTGTGTACAGTTGGGTGTCATCGGTGTACATGTGATGTTCTAGCTTGTGTTGCTTAACAATGTCAGACAATGGGGTTGTGTAGAGTGTAAATAACACAGGTACAAGGACTGAGCCTCGAAGTACTCCTTAATGAAGCTGAACTGACGATGATCTCACACTGCCAGCCAGTTGAGTGCAGATCCTCCGAAGCCGAAGTATACTCTGAGCCACTGTAATAAAAGGTCTTGATCGATGGCGACAATCGCTGCCCTCAGGTCAAGCA